ATTTCACACACACACACACACACACACACACACACACACACACACACGCACGCACGCGCATACACGCACGCACGCGCACACACACACCTCCCTCTCTTTCTCCCCCTCTCCCTCCCTCCCTCCATCCCTCCCTCTACCCCTTCTGTCCCTTCCCTCCTCCCCTCTCTCTCTCCTCCTCTCCCTCCCCCTCTCTGTCCCTCCCCCCATTGCTTCTGTTCCCTCCTTCCTCCTCCCTCCTCTCCCTCCTCCTCTCCCTCTCTGTGGACCACAGCCTCCACACCCAGCACTTCTACTTTCTGTCATCCCATAGAGTTAAGTGTCCCCGTAGAACAGTCACTTTAAACTCAGTACAGCTGAAGCAAAGCTTCCTAGAGACAGCAATAACACAAAGTGTCCTTGAGAACGGGCTTTGCTCTGAGAAGGAAGCATTGCACATGTTCATGGCGTTTCTCAGATTATTTCCTTCCTCCCAAGAGTTTCTATCAAGACTTTCAGGCAGGTAGGGACATCACACACCCACAGGCACATGAGAGTGCGTACACAGTACATGCATGTACACATGAGCACAGGTATATACCTGAACGCACACAGCCATGTGTATATTCGTTTGTATGTACTCTGAGCATGCACAGACGCATATACAAACACATTAAGTAAACAATCTTACTGTCACACATGGAGACAGATTTGAGTAAACAGTCTGTCATGCTAGAGTACACACATGCGCACATACACACACACACACACACACACACACACAGAGCCCCCCCAGGACAGCACAGACCCTGAAGGGAAGGACCCTGTATCTAAACATCTGCACTGTGTTGTCAGTATGGAAAATATTCAAGTTAGAAAGGCATAGGCCTTGTTTCAAGGTTAAGACACATGACCTGAACTCCAGTTTTCAAAAGAGACAGAGCAGAAGAGGTTCCCAGCATCTTACAAGAAAGTTCTAGAAGTCAGTCACCAGAGAAGATGTGTGGTCCAACCCCTGGAGGAGATGGGAGACTCTAAACTGAAGACACAGTCGGCATGGATAATGGGAGCCCAGGTGGAATCTCTGCAGGGATATCAGGACTGTAGACTCGGGAGCCTGGCTTCCTGATGCCCTGTGTCCTAAGGAAAGATCCACATGCTGGGTCTGCATGTGACGACTGAGGAAATTTCACCTTTCTCGCCTGTCTCAGGGCTGCACCTGTCTTTGCCAGCTGAGGGTTCTGTGGTCCACCCAGACAGGCTGTGGGAGCCATGGCAACCCACCTTTCTCCTGGTTCCAAGCATCTCCCAGCTACCCAGGAGTCCTCGGCCCACCCTCAGCCACATTCCCTCTCCCAGCCTCACCTGACGTGTCCAGACCTGGCTTGGGGCAGAAGATGGAAGTCGGTGGTTCATTTGCTTCTGTGTAGCCTTTCAGACCCGGAGAACAGGCATGAGAAGTGCACCTGAGGCTTGAGGGGGCTCGGCACCCACCCATTTCCTGACACCTTCCCCAGTGTGGGCCTTGGCTGTAGATGGATGTGCCACATGAGGACCAATGACCCGAGTTCCATCTCCGAAACCCACATAGTAGAAGGAGAGAACTGGCTCGTGCATGTTGTCCTCTGACCACCACATGTGACCACACACACGCACATACACATACACGCACATGTCAACAAAATAGATGCAGAACCAGACGTAGCCAGAAGGACCCCGAGGTAAAGACATGCACGGGGAAAGAGAGCCAGAGGCCTGCCCACACCTTAGCAGCTGCGGATGTGTCTCAAATACCAGAAACTCTGTGTCCATCCATAGCGCTTTCCCAGAGGGAAACAGTTTAGGGACAGCACCTGGCATTAACAGTGACACCGGCTTCAGTCACTGACTTTGAACCTGTACTTGATCCGTTTCCTCCTGGGGAGTCTGCATGGAACTTTGTTTAAGCACTAGAATGCTAAGCTTAAGCAGGGATGGGACCCTGCTCATATCTAAACATGCTGTGTTCAGTGTAGGCTGGAACTCCAAGGAGAGCTGGTGGCCTTTGTAAACCGTCTTCTGGACTGTGGCTGGGGAGCCATGTTCATTTACATGAAAGGCTCTGGTGGACATGAATTTGATCCCAACAGGTGTCTACAATTGGGTGAGAAAGTTCCAAGTGCTCTTTACCTACACAGAGCGGCCTCTTTGAGTCTGGAAAGTGACGGAGAAAACAGTTTGGACCATACTAAGCATAATTATAAGCCGTGGTGTTTAAACCTCTGTGACAGTGGCCGTCTGATGAGGGGAGTTGAGGGAAGGACAGGGGCTCGGTTTCAGGTCCTGTCTGTTTGCTGTGGTGTTTCTCAGAGCTACCAACAGCAGACATTTATAGTAATTGACATCTCGGGTGTTGGGAAGAAGGTTACCCTCAGGTCCTAGGACAAGGAGAAGCCACAGCCCTGCAGCCACAGACACCCCCCCCCTTACATACATAAAGCACCAGTGCTGTGGTTTAGAAAAGGAAACAAAGGCAGTCT